CAGGCCATCCACTCACCTCAGCCTCCCAAAGGGGCGGGATTACAGGCTGAGCCACCGAGCCTGGCTTTACACCTTTATGAACACTAGCAAGATATAGAATCAACCCGTGTTCATCAAAGGGTGACTGGATAAATGTGGTGTTTATGCACCACGGAATACTATTCAGCCGAAAAAAAGAAAGAAATCCTGTCATTGGCGGCAACACAGATGGGTTTGGAGGATGTATGTCATGTGAAATAACCCCACTCACCAGGCTCGGTGGCTCAGCCTGTAATCCCGCGCCTTTGGGAGGCTGAGGTGAGTGGATTGCCTGAGCCCGCGGGTTCGAGACCCGCCTGCACAACTTGGCGAGACCTCATCTCTACAATAAATCAAAAATTAGCCGGGCATGGTAGCATGTCCCTGTAGTTCCAACTACTTGGAAGGCTGAGGCGGAAGGATCGCAGGAGCCCAGCAGGTCAAGGCTGCGGTGGCCAGGAGCGGCCACTGCACTCCAGTCTGGGCGACAGAGTGAGACTCCAACACACACCCAAAAAAGAAATAACCCTGCTCATCTGTGGAAGCTGAAAAAACTGGTCTCAGAGGAGTAGAGGGTAGCGTCGAGGGTACTGGAGACCGGAGCCAAAGGTTGGTTAGGATACAAAAGTACAGCCAACTAGGGGAAATGAGTTTGAATGTTTTGCAGCACTGCCGGGCGACTACAGAGACATTTAGTGCACGTTTCAAATAGAGGAGAGGATTTTGTTTTTATATTTATTTATTTTTACTTTATTTTTTGAGTTGAAGTCTCACTGTTTCGCCCAGGCTGGAGTGCAATGGCACGCTCACGGCCACCGCAACCTCGACCTGCTGAGCTCATGTGATCCTTCCGCCTCAGCCTCCCAAGTAGCTGGAACCACAGATGTGTGCCACCACACCCAGCTAATTTCTTGGTTTATTGTAGCGACGAGTTCTAGCCTTGTTGCCCAGTCTGGTCTCGAACTCCTGACCTCAGGCAATTTTCCCAAAGTGCTAGGATGAGTCATGAGCCACTGAGCCTGGCTTATTTTCTTATTTTATTTTTTAACCTTATGGCCTAGTCAAGTTGATGAAGAGAGGATTGTGAATATTCCCAGCTCTTTATAAAGAAATGGTGAATGTCTGAGGTGATGAATATGCTAATTACCCATATGTGAACATTCCGTGTTGCATACATTATCAAGACAGCACACCACATAAATGCATACAAGTATGTATCGATGAAAGGTAATACTAAAAGCCACACAAGTAAGAATAAAACATATAGAAACACAATAATTTCAAAAAAAAGCTTTAAGAGTAGAGTCTAGCAGAGATTCTCAAGAAGCCAGGGAACAGGGTGGGGGATGTAGCTCAGTGGTAGAGCGCATGCTTTGCATGTATGAGGTCCCGGGTTCGATCCCCGGCATCTCCACTTGCTTTTTTTCTTTGTCTGGGATTCTTTTTCATTAAAGCACCATAGATGAGATGATTATACGTATTACTATTCCAAGTACTACTTGGAGCTGGGATTTTCACACTCAGGCCACTCTTCCCTCTCTAAATTCCCTACGTCCAGAAGAAAAGGCGGGGGGTGGGGTGGGGTGGGGGGGTGTCAGCAGAAAAGTGTCAGCAAGGATGCCTGGAATCGCTGCGCAAGGGAGCAGAGTGACCAGCTGGGGAGTTTGTGTGCTGCGGCCTGGATTGCTCTGAGAAAGCTCAGGGCACGGCAAGCTCTCCAGGCCGTCCGCGTGAGCATGCAAGGGGTCGGCAGGGTTCAGCCTCTGCTGCCTGCCCCCCACTCTGTGCTGGCAGTGGCACCCACCTGCAGGGGGAATGGGCTCAGGGCAAGCTCGACCACACCCAAGCCTTCCTGGACACAGGGAGCCGGGACTTCCCATAAACACAGGCTGTGTTCCCAGGTGGGCAGATCTATACAAACCTACCTCAAAGGCAAGGAAGCTGAGGGAGAGAAGAGGAAGATACACCCAGTCTCTCTGAAAGAGCCATTTACTAGGGACAGAAGCCCCTAGAGGAAACGGTGGATCCCTCAACCTTACCCCCCAGACCCCCCTTTTCCCACAACTGTGGGAAAAGACCTTGTGCCTCTGTCTAAAGGCAGGATTTATGGTCAAGGCTGCTCTGACCTAAGTGCAGGATTTAAGGTAACAGGAGATGAGGTAGAAATCTTAGAGGCCTTCCTGGAAGAGGGGTTAGTCAATAGAGCAGATCAGCATGAAAGGAGTTGCTTTGGGTGCCATGCTCTGTTTTATATGTTGTCACGGAGAGTGATAGATGCCAGGCATGGTGGCTCACGCCTGCAATCCCAGCACTTTGGAAGGCAGAGACAAGAGGATTGCCTGAGCTCAGGTGTTCAAGATCAGCCTGGGCAACTTGGCGAGACCTCGTCTCCTCAATAAATCAAAAAATTAGCCAGGCATGGCGGTGCGCACCTGTAGTCCCGGCTACTTGGGAGGCCGAGGCGGAAGGATCATCGGAGCCCAGGAGGTCAAAACTGCGGTAAGCCCTGATTGTGCCACTGCCCTCCAGCCTGGCCCAAGAGTGAGACCTCGACTCAAAAAAATAAAAAATAAAAAAAATCAAACATACAACAACAAAAACAAAGCTCAAATAGGTTAAGCTTTCAGATGTTCTGACTCGGCCACAGGATTCAAAAGCACAGACGGAAACAGGAAAAAGCACACAACCTCTGGGCCTTTTCCTCCCCTTCCTGTTTGTGAGGCCTCTGACCTGCAGACACCCTTGGCGACCTTCTGGTTATATAACTGATGACAAAGCAAGGCCAGCCTGCCCCCTCCCGCCCCGCCCCCCGTGATCTCGCCCTCTCCTGGGGAATTTCAGGCTGTGGGCATTTTCATGGCGCCGGTTCAATCACACACAAGGCTGTGACCTTCAGAGGGACTGAATCCCTGGGGGGGGGGGGGGCAAGGCGGGCGACAAGCCCCCCCACCCTCCCGGCTGCAGCCGACACCCAGGCCTTTGTGAGTCAGCCCGTCACGTGGCCCGCCTGCCACTCCCGCCCTGTTGCCAGGCCTCTGTCCCCTCCGGCGGTGCCAGCTCGGAGGCCGCCTCTTCTGGGCGCCTGCAAAGGCTGGATCTGTGGGTGGAGCGGATGGAACGGGGCCAGGGACACGCCGGCTTCTCGCACCTTCCAGCACATCCCATGCTAGGTCAGGGGGTTTAGGCTGTAGGAGCGTGACTTGACACCCGACTCGGAGTCCAAGTGGGACACTGAGACTTCGGGAGAGAAAACAGAAGAGTGGTCACAGCAGCAGGGCAGGGCTGCTGGGCCAGCACTAGGGACCCTGGGGCCTCGTGTCCTTTGTCGTGGGAGACTGTCCAGAGAGGAATGTTTACAGCAGGCGTCCACCACGAGGGCTAGCCAGCGCCTCCCAGCCCCCCACAGAGCTGTGACCATCACAAATGTCTCCAGACACTGCCAGTGTCCCCCGAAGGGCAATCACTCCTGGTGGAGAAGGCTGTTCTAGAAAAACACAGTCACCTCTTTTGGGGAAGCCCTTTTCTCCTCCCCTGCCTCCCACTTCTTGCCCTTGGGGAAATGTCAACTTCGGCTGTGCTGAGGTCGGGGAATGCGGGCGCGTTTTCTAGAATTGTTCCTGCTAGAGACAACATGAGTCTCTCCCCAGAGCTCACCCTTGGCCCGTTCCCGCCTGCCCTCCCCCACCTCTGGAGTCAGGGTTGTTTTTCTCCCTACCTCTTGGACTCCGAAAAAAGCTGTCACAAGGCTGTGACTCACCCTCCATGCAACGTGACTCAGGCTGGCAGCAGGGCTGGCAGCCAGGAGCTCGCAGGGTGCGTCTGGAAGCCTGGCAGGGCCCTGGGGAGGAACCTCGGCCTCTTCGTCCTTTGAAAACCCCTTCCGGACACGTTGGAAGTCACTGGGGCCTCCTGCTAGGCCTGGACATGACCTGTTACTTTTATGATTTGTTTCTGGCTTTTATGATTCTTTCCTGGCTCCTTGAAAAATGTTAGAGGTGACAGCATCCACATCTACTGTGAACAACGCTCAGACCTCGAATCCTCACACAGATATACGGGCTTAAGTTTCCCCAGGAAAGACGGAGTAGGCTGGTTTTGGTTCGACTCATTATTATTATTATTATTTTTTGAGTTGGAGTCTCCCTCTGTCGCCCAGACTGGAGTGCAGTGGCCGCTCCCGGCCACCGCAGCCTCGACCTGCTGGGCTCCGGCGATCCTTCCGCCTCAGCCTTCCGAGTAGCTGGAATTACAGGCATGGGTTTGACTCATTTTAAGTATAACCTTTAAATAATAGAATGTTCACAGCCTAAATCAGGAATGTGGTCCCTTCTTAACGGCAGAACATCTTCCAGCTAGCAGACTTTTTTTTTCTTGAAAGCTTTAAGAGTAGAAATAAAAATACCTCCCCCATGTGCAAAAACAGGGAATATTTCTAGAAGAGACTGGAAGGAACAGTGGCTGGGAAACTCAAGGCTTAAGGGAGACTTTTCACCACAGACTTCTAAAAACCTGTTTTAAAATCTCACCATGCTCTTATGTCTCCAAAGGCTTTCCAGACAAGCTGAAAAAATGACAAGAGGGGACACAGCGTTGGGGAGAGATGCCGGCTGTTGATGTCCCCCCAATCAAGATTAAATTTGCCAGTAGAATCACAGTTCCTAGTTCACATTTTCAACTTTTTCCCCAGAAATATCCGAGACTCAGATCTGTGTCCTTCATTTTGATGTTTTTCAGGGTTTTTTTTAACTTTTAAATTTTTTATTTCAAAATTGTGGGGTGTAATTCAGGGTTAGGTATACAGATATTCATTATGCCCCCTGTCCCCAGACAGATTCCCACTACTGCCAATCCTGCCTCCCCACCCCCCAATCCTCCCGGCCTGCAGTCTCCCGCTACTGTCAAGTTTGTAAGTTTTAAAACAGAATTTACTAGCGAGGAGAAGGAAAAAAGAAGATTCAGGGCAAAGGCCTGCCATGAGTGAGTTTCTCAAAAAGAATCCTATCATCCCAGCTCTTTGGGAGGTGGAGAGGGGAGAGGAGTGCCTGAGGCCAGGGGTTCGAGACCAGCCTGGACAACCTGGTGAGACCTTGTCTCCACAAGAAATCAAAGAATGAGCCTGTTGTGTGGCACACGACTATGGTTCCAGCTACTGGGAGGCTGAGATGGGAGGATCACCTGCGGTGGCCTCGAGCGCACCCCTGCCCTCCAGCCTAGTGAGACTCAAACAAAAAAAAGTCTCCGGCGGACATGGGGCAATTGGGGTGGGGGTAACATCAGTAAGGGGACCTGATCTCAAACCAGGCCAAGTGGACACCCAAGGGCGGCCCGACCTTGACCTGCCTGACCTTGACCTGTACGATGCCCACTTGTATGCCTCGCCCCACATCTTTGAAATAAAACTTAAGAAATGGGGCAATCTCACCGAAAACGAACACCCGCAGGTCACCCTGGGGCCCCCGCGACACCTCAAGACCCCGGCCCGGGCCCACGGGAGGCTCAGGAACCGTCTAGAAGGTTCTAGGCCTGCCGGCCAAGCAGTTTCACGCATCTGGAGCGGCTTTCCGCCTCCCCCCCC